GACTTCACAATGACAAGTATGTTGAGTAACAGACTGGACTTGTGCCGGCTCAGCTGAAACAAAATGGAAGGATTGAAGCACTCACTATCAGAGGGGCGGCCCCATCCTGTGGGAGTAACGGTCTTCCCAACTGCCACGTCGGAGGAAGGCAGCTTTACGGTTGAAATGTATTCTGTGAAGATACAATAATACCTTTGCTATACAGAATGATAAATGACGAAGCAAAGTTAGCATTATAGCAACAAGTAAAGCTTATCAATTTTGACGGATACTAACTGTTGAATTCGACAGCGCTGGGCAGCTTAATGAGGGCGATGTCGTTGGTGAGCGTGTTGGAGTTCCAGTGCTCGTGAGTGAAGAAGTTGGTGGAGGTCATGGACACCTGGCTAGGCTCATCGTGGCGGATGTTGTGGGCGCCAAGGACTACCTCGACGAAGCCAGCGCTGTAAGCAATTTTACATATCTAAATACTAAGTGAAGTAATAAATTCATGGATTTCAGTCTTGGAGAATCAACATGCCGTGGAGGAAATCAGTATTGTTACATTCAGTGCTGACTCACCCGTCCATGCAGTGAGCGGCCGTGAGGACCCACTCGCTGGAGATGAGGGAACCGCCGCAGAAGTACATGTCGTCGATGAAGAGAGCCACCTGGTGGGGCCACGAGTGGGGAGTGGCCTCAGTGCCGCCCACGATTCTCCCATTTCCTGCAATAGTTGCTTTATATATTTGATCGCGAATCGAATAGATGTAGATATTTGACCTTGACACATACAAGTTAGAAACTCACCAGAGGGAGCAGGACCCATAGGGTCGACGAGGGGCTTCGGGGACTTCCAGTGCCATGGCTTCCCCGCGGCGGGGTTTCCGCTCTGATTCAGGAGAGACGCGTAAGGAATTCGACCTTCCTTGTTTGAATGTCAACAGAAATATACAAGGAAAAAATGCGACAAAACAGCATATTCAGTGACTGCTGGATTAGTAAAATGCATGATCTGAAACTCACGGCGGCGGCAACGAAGGCGAGGAGGAGAGCGACTCTGGCGACCATGATGCGGTGCTGCTGAGGACGACAAGATCTGCCGCCGTTTATATACACTTCTTATCTCAAATTGTACCTTTTTTAAATTTCTCTCTTTTTAGCAGGTCCCATTCTCAAGGGACACGTGGCACTGATAATAATGTGAAAACTCTCATCTTTGCACAGGCCAACACTGCAACACGTAATCCTTTCTCGAACACATTTCTCACGATAGAATTTTAGATAGGCGTTGACATCCTCCCAAGTCACATCAACGAAAACATTTAAACGGCAATAAATAAACATTTTGAAGAATATGAGGAAAAACTGATTATTTATTAATATATCTTATCACATACACAAAAACATCGACTTATTATGCGAAATATAAGGCAAAGAGAGAACTGGTGAAGGGAGGGGAGTTGTATCCGTTTTCTATATAGGATTGGAAAGGAAAATAAAATAGGAATACTCATGATTCTATCACAGGAAAATATATTTAGTAAAACCACTGATTAATGACGCAGATAATAATGATAGTGAGAATAATATCAATAGTGATAGTAATACTGATCGTGATAATATTCCTAATACGGATAATAGTGTTTATACTGAAGGTAATAATGAAGCTAAAGATAAGTATAATGATGTTATTTTTGGTGTAGATGAGACTAATAAAATTGCACACACACACACACACACACTTGTAGATATATGTGCATGTGTGCCTCTGCATGTGCGTGCACATATATATATGTATGTATGCTAATATATATATATACATATATATATATATATATATATATATATATATATATATATATATATATATAATGTTAATATATTTACACACATACACACACACACACGTATATATAGACATACATATGTATGTATATATATTCATATATATAAATAGATAGATAAATAATCATATATATAGAGAGAGATATATTATATATATTTATATTTATATGTTTGAATAGATATTTACACACATATTTATATATATAAACTCATTTATGCATAAACATATAAACACATATGTATGCATCAATATAAAAACACACACACACACACACGCACATTTATATACATATATATATATATATATATATATATATATATATATATATATATGTATATACACATATATATGCATCTTTATATAAACAGACACACACACACACACATATATATTATATATGTATATATATATATATATATATATATATATATATATATATATATATATATATACATATATATATATGCATCAATATATAAACACATACATATGTACCTATTTATATACACATTTATACACACGCATATATATATATACATATTTTTATGTATGATTATATATATATACATATTTTTATGTATGATTATATATATATATTTATATATGTGTGCGTGTGTGTGTGTGTGTGTGTGTATGTACAAATATATGAACATATACATATATATGTACACACACAGACACAAATATGTATATATGTGTGTGTGTGTGTATAAATATATATATACATATCTATACATATATATATGTTTATATGCATAATATATATATATTATATATATATATATATATATATATATATATATATATGTATGTATATCTATATATAAATATATACAAATACATATGTGTATATACGTTGATAAATAAACAAATAAATAAATATATATATATATATATATATATATATATATATATATATTATATATACGCATATACACACATGTATATGATATATATGTCCATATGTATACAGACGTATGTGTATATATAAATATTCATATATATACACACATATGTATGCTTGTGTATATCCCAATGGTGCCGGGGAAAATTAACCAAAAATGGGGAAAATATTGTGCCCACTTTCTATGTTTTTCGTGAAATGTCTGCCGATAGATGGCTCTGCTAGCGCCTGATTTAAATGGCGGGAAAAACGTATTTTTCACTAGTGCTATGAAAATCGATGGTGTTATTTTTATCATAAACATTATAATTTTTTATAACTTTTTTTTTTAACATTAGTAACAGCAAAATAAGATAACGTAAAATATTTTGTAAATCAAAGAAACGGGTAAACGGGCGAGACGGGCGGTGCTCGTAACTGGCTCATTGGGGAGTTAGTACAAGTGTTGCCATCTATGCGTAAAAACAATCAAACAAGTATTCACTGTGGGCATAGCACGTACGTACACGTTATACCCGGCACCAAGGGGATATATATGCACACATGTATATACATGTGTATATATACATGTATATGTGTATATATGAATATATATACATATATATATACATATGCATATATATATATATGTATGTATCTATGATATATGTATGTATGTACGAATATATATATACATATGTATGAATATATACATATATGTCTATATATGTATGAATATATACATATATGTCTATATATATGTATGAATATATACATATATGTCTATATATATGTATAAATATATACATATATGTCTATATATATGCATGAATATATACATATGTCTCTAGACGCTTAAGAAGGACAAAACAATTGTAGTTACCAAACCAAATAAAGGTCGGGCTGTTGTCATTTTAAATAAGTATATGTAGAGCAGGTATGAATGAGAATGAATATCTTCACAATGCAAGAGATTCATTCTCATTCATACCTTTTCTACATTTGTCAACATGAAAACAGTTCATCTTAATTAAGTATAATTATAAACAAAAGATCTTGAATATTCTCAGTGACCACAACGAAATTTAAACGAATTACTACTGAAGTATCAACTCACTTGTTATACTTAGAAAATAAGTTAAAAAAGATTATTCCGTACCATTAAAACATCCATTAATAGAAATACATCTGGTATACTGGTATACTCTATGGACCCCCCAAAGTTCATAAGCCTAACATTCCTCCTCGACCTATTATTTCTTCGTCTGGTACATTTAACTATTACACTGCAAAATTTCTGGTTCCTATCATTTCCCCGTTAACCACCAATCAGTACACAATTGATAATTCCACCACCTTTGTAAGTTAAATTACACCCCTTCAGCTTCAACAGTCTATCACCATGGCAGCTTTCGATGTCATTGATCACTAACGTTTCCTTCAATGAGACCACGGCTATAATTGTTAACAATCTGAATAGCACTCATCTCAAAGATTTTGGCCTAACGAAAGATAACGCTAATAAACTACTTGAAAATGCAAGCCATTACTCGGTTTTTACTTTCGATGATTGTTTATATATTCAAACAGACGGTGTAGCCATGGGGTCCCCATTAGGCTTGTCTAATGTTTTAATGAACAAAAGTGGCTTGAGTAATGCCAGTCTGAGTTTAAACCCACCCTTTATCGTCGAAACATCGATGATACTTTTCTCCTTTTCAAACAGTCTATACACGTTAATCTTTTTCTGTCTTATCTCAACTCGAAACACCCTAGCATAAAATTTACCTGTGAGATGCCAGAAAACAACCAATTACCATTTTAGACACGCTAACCACCACCAATAATAATGGCACATTCCATACAAGCATTTACCCAAAACCAGCACTCACTGGTCTCGGACTTCACTTCCTTAGCTCCATCACATATTTGTACAAAATTAACAGCATTAAAACCTTAATCACTCGCGCATATAACTAGCAACCGGTCAGCTTTTCACGATGAAATTGCTTTTCTTAAAATATCTTTGTAACTTATGGTTATCCACTGTTCTTATGTGATAAAAATACTAAAACATTTCTGTGTAAAGTATTGTCAGACCAACACACTACCTCTAATGTTAAATACCATGTATATATGTGAAACTACCATACATGGGTAGTTTAAGCTTTGAAATCAGGAAACAACTAAAATAATTGTTACAGAATAAATACCTTCAAATAAATTCACTTCTGTCTTCACCAATACTATCAATATCGCTAACTTTCTCAAACAACTAATGAGATATAACTGACGTGTTTTAACGATGTGTATTTCTTTACCTGTCCTTGCTACCAAGCTCGGTACAAGGGGTCTGTTTCACGATGGTTACGTCACCGGATCTTAGAACACAAAGGCAAATCCTTCAGGGCAGTCTTCCGCTGAGCAAACCATCTTTCTCGGCAATAAGAGAACACTCCCTACATCACTCACATCCTTTCTGTAACAAATTTTAGCATTCTGTCTTCACACTCTTCTCGCCTAGACCTCATCCTCTCAGAATCCTTGTTTATATGGAAGATGAAACCCTCAATAACACAACCACCGAAACCACCTTCGAAACGTTTGAATAAACATGAAATTCTTCACTACTATGTTAGTCTATCTGCTCATTATATGTATATATATATATATATATATATATATATATATATATATATATATATATATATATATATATATATATATATATATATATATATATATATGAATATATATAATTATATATAATTATGAATATATGAATATATAAGTATGAATATATATTGATATATATAAATATGTAGGTATGTATGAATATATATAAATATACACTCATACATACTTATATATATTCATACATATATATTTTTTCTTACATACATATATTCACACATAAAAACATATATTCATCCATACATACATTTATTCATACATACATAAATACAAATATTCATACAAAGATACATATATTCACAAGCATACATACATATATTCATACATGGACATACATATATTTATACAAACATACGTATAATATATATATATATAATATATATATATATATATATTATATATATATATATTATATATATATATATATTATATATATATATATTATATATATATATATAATATATATATATATATATAATATATATATATATATATATTATATATATATATATATTATATATATATATATAATATATATATATATATTATATATATATATATAATATATATATATATATTATATATATATATATTATATATATATATATTATATATATATATATAATATATATATATATAATATATATATATATATTATATATATATATATATTATATATATATATATTATATATATATATATTATATATATATATATATTATATATATATATATTATATATATATATATATATTATATATATATATATAATATATATATATATATTATATATATATATATATTATATATATATATATTATATATATATATATTATATATATATATATAATATATATATATATAATATATATATATATATATATAATATATATATATATAATATATATATATATATAATATATATATATATAATATATATATATATATAATATATATATATATATATATATTATATATATATATATATAATATATATATATATAATATATATATATATATATATAATATATATATATATAATATATATATATATATAATATATATATATATATTATATATATATATATATTATATATATATATATATATAATATATATATATATATATATATATTATATATATATATATATATAATATATATATATATAATATATATATATATATATATATTATATATATATATATTATATATATATATATATAATATATATATATATATAATATATATATATATATTATATATATATATATATAATATATATATATATAATATATATATATATAATATATATATATATATATTATATATATATATATTATATATATATATATATAATTTAATTTATCAATTATCCCTAATGAACGCATGTAGGAGTCGATATCACGAGACATTGGATTATGATGAAGAAACTTTGGGAGTTTTAATTCGTACTTGAATGCAAAAAAAATTTATTTTGTTTTATTTACAATTTAATTTATTTTGTTTTTGTGCAATCATCTTTTTTTAACCCTTCTCTTTGCGTTAATCCTTACATCTCTTGCTGGTTTCGTCTTTTCTCGTTTGCGCTTGAATAATCATTATTATTATTATTTTTTATCTCTGCATTATACGTTCTAGTTTGCAAAGCATAAAGCCCACTCGTTTAAACTTCCGCTTCTTGTACAGGAATGAGTCTGCGACTGATCTTGAATAATACATATAAAATCGATAACCAATCGAATACGTAGAATATATTTGTAAATATTAAAATCCCATGAGAAATACATTAAACGACCAAACAAAGTGAAAGCGGCACGAAACCGGCTTTCTTTCTCCACATCTTCTTTACGGCAAAGGGAGTGTCACGTGACCCGTGTAAACAATCCACCACAACCTTTACGGAGTGTGATGGACATGGAATAAGGGTCTGTTTACTAGAATGTCTGCACATTTCAAACAACCTGTCGAGCTACAGTGTATTTAACCTCGGCCGAGTTTAAAGATTTAGATGAAAGAATTAACCTCAAATTTTGCCAACGAGAGGGTTATTAGGTTTTAGAACTATTTCCACATAGCATACAATAAACCGCATCTCTGACATCAATTTTTTTTTTATCCTGCATTTCAACAACAGCAGGAGGTCTTACCCTTCCATCACAGGATAATAAGATCCGGTGACGTCATTGCTACGCCAAAAATCTGCAAAACCTCCATCGATTTTCCAGACTGACAGCGACTGTTCCCTTATCTCCATCTCCTCTGACTGTTTACTTTGCTAACTTTACCTCAGTCTCCTCCGCAGCAGGAACAGCAACTCTGGCAACAAGGTTTTCCGTCTCTTTTATCTCTATAACTTTGTCATTCCACAGCTTCCGTTGCGGAGCCGGGGAGGGACATTGTGAATTGTCATAGTGTGGTAGATATCTGCGTCTCGGTATGCCATCTGTCTGTGAAAGATTGAGATTTTCCACTGTCATCGTTGGGTAGAGGGAAATATATAAACAATCTGCTTTTGAGAACAATTGTCAAAATAAGTTTTAGATTTATTTGTTCTATCATTTGCATACGTTATTTTCATTGTACAGGATGGCTGTATAATGAACCCTTACCTAAATTAGATAGGGTTATTGGGGAAATTACGAAACAGCATTTTCTTATTTAAGAGTTGCTTTTGTTCATTTAACGCATTTGTATTGTGCGTCAGTCAGGTAAAAATAATCCCGGATATAACAGAATTGTAGACCGTAATTGTTTAGGTGAATCATGGCCACTGTCCCCGTAGAGTTTCAACACAGGATTTAAAGCTGTTTTGATTTTTTTTTCTATTTTGCTGTGTGTAAATCGTGCTAATTCTTCCCCAAAATACAGTGCGAAGCCACCGCTTACACATTTTATCAACTTTGCCATCGGGGAACACAAGTTTCTTCATTCGTCAACTAACCAAATGCGACAAAAACAACAGCATAACAGCGCTAAACTACGAAGGAACATTCGTGACTGACAGTTGCTGCTGAGCTGGGAGGGTGATTCTCTCGTGCTCTATCCTACGTGGTAGATTCCTTGTCTTTTAGGGTGGGGGTTGGGGGCGGTACTCCCAGGGGGGATTGCAGACCCTTGCACGTTGCACATTGCAATGACTTATTCATTTTGTATAACTACTATTTTACCCCATAATTTCCTTGGTACCTTTTATGCCCTTCACTGTTACGGGGGCCAAGATCATCGCTAATAAGGGGGTTTCCACGGTATAATTTCAATATCCATAGATAGTAGAGACAGAGGAATCCATCGATACTAATTAAAATAACCAACAAAAACGAGCCCCCAAATCTAGTTATTTTTTGTCTTCAGCAACAGTAATGAAAACTTCTTAAAACAATCGCAGCTCTGATCTATATTCTAATGTAGTGTCATTTACCTTTCCTTCCTGTCAAGCTTCCTACGTAAGATCAACTTCACACAGGTTCTGCCACTGCCACCACATATAAGTAGACGAAGGTTTGTTCAGTTGGTCTCCTGTTGAACAGACCATCTCTCTCGGCCACAACACAGGACTCACATTATCAGGGCAAGATAAAAGAAAAGGAGCGAATTTTTATTTTCCGTTTGATAACAGAATATATTTTTTTAATAAGGTGAATTAATTTTTTGTTGATAAGGATTCTAACCAGTGTTGTTGAAGGATTGGAAACGACTTATTTGCACAAGATTCATTCTTACCAGATTCATATGTAAAGATAGGTAAATGAGGAAAGAACATACAACACATTTAAATCGTATTTTTTTATGCTGTTGCTTTGTTATTCCCCCACTGAATTCAAAAAGTAGATTTTCGTATAATACAACTGCTACAGAAGCGTGACGTCAGTGCTACCGCCGTCATATTTTTTTCGGTCCCTTGTATAGCAGACAAATTTCGGTTATCTGGTAGCCTAACCTCTCGTTCTTTATCTCAGAATCGCTCCACATATAGAGACGAAATATAAACTGAAAAAACACAAACCACTTGCGCCCATATTGAGTATTTTTAACATATTCTTAACTCTATTATCTCGTCCATTTCGTACTCTGCATATATCTTTATCACTTATGTGTACATATTTATATTAGGTTATTTGCATTATGTTTACGTATAGTATTTGCGTTACATTTTCCGTATCAATATTTCCTAAGTCAGAACCACCTGTTCTATTATCTACCTACCTATTGTCTTGTTACAGCACTGGTATTGAAGATTTAGTATACTTGTGAATATGAAATCCTTTGCGACCGTGTTCGTCAAGATTTCACATAAATTTGCACAAAAAATTGTTACAGAATCAAGCGTGAATTGCTGAAGTTGACCTCCAAGATAAGAATTTCTTTTGATTTTCTCTTAAAACAGAAAATCAGACCGTACAGTGTGGGGGAAAAAGAAAAAGAATATTGCCTCATCTCTTATTTCATATGCTACATCACCTGTCCAATATTTCTGTGTTTTCCCCTTTCCTCTTTATCTTCTTTTTCTGTTTCTTTTTCTTCTTTGCATGGTCTTTCCAGCAAGCTAGTGGCTCTGGAGATCATAGGCTGAAGTGCTGCTGAGTCCTCCTTTCTCAAACGCATATTAAATACCCAACAGAAACTTCCCTCATTAGGCTTATGATGGTGTTCTTATCTCTTTGGGTTTTATCAGCAGCTCACAGACAACGAAAATCAGACACTGGGAAAATTTGCGGGTTTCGAATGGTTTCAGCTGTAAGGCGGACATCAGCTGGAGGTTTTCTCAGGAAGGTTGGTCATTTAGGGTGGATGAACGGTTTCAAAAATGAAGAATTTTTGTTCATTATTATCATTAACATCACCATCATCATTTGCATCATCGCCATTGTCATCATCATCACCACCATCATTATTAGCTTTATCACCATCGTCATCTTCATCATCATCCTCATCGTCACCGTCATTATTATCATCATTATCATTATCATAATCATCTTTGTTATTATTATTTTCATTACCATCAGCATTATGAAAATGACGATGATAATGAAAAGCGAGAAGAAGTAAGGTTTATATCTATGTTTTTCAGTCCAATAAAAGGGAAATATCAGAAAAGTCGTCATATCTCCATTTATGTGTATGCATATATGTATTTATAACACTTCATCTACCTGTTTATCTGTGTCTCTATCTATTTATCCATCTCTCTAACTATATTTGTTAATCTAAATATGCACACATATATAGAGACATACACAAACACACACACATTGTATACAAGGCACACACACACTGCAATCAGTGCAGGGCAGAGCAGGGCACCTCTGTCCCCAGAGATGCTCTGCTCTGCTTTATCTTTTGGCACTTCTACAATTTAAGTAAACATCCGCCTTGGAAGGGAGCCGCCACATAAAAGGACACGTTTTCGTTAGACAGAAGAGAGAGAGACGACGACGACAGACAAACCAAGCCACACAAAGTCCAGTTCCACCACCTCGACCTCGACACAGGAGCCTCTTGAGGGTCTCACATCTAACTTCAGCCTTAAACACGGCAAAACCCCTTCCACTCACCTGCACTAAGGCAACTCTCTCGTTGATATCTGGTGGCAAGCGGTGCTCAAGAACCTCACGATTAAAATGCTAACTCGCCTAATATCCTGCGATGCCACGCTCGTCGCCGATGCCTGTATCTGCCAACAAGGTACTTCTGTCAAAATGTCTCCTCACCTTCCTTAACACCATCGCTAGCAAATCCTCTTCTGGTCCACGCTTACCCGTCTGTTCTTTTACTTTGTGCTGATCACTCACATCTGTGATATAGATACATAACAGTCCTCCCTGACCTGGCCTCGAACCTAGGTCACTCCGGATATGAGACCGGAGGGCCAGTACTAAACCAAGTGCCCACGGGGAGTGTGTGTAAAACCTCGCTATCATTACTCATGTATGAGTAGATAGGTAATGTCTATGGAGCTAGTTAGATCCTAGTTGCACACTCCTTTTAGTGGGTCGCGTGGCATGGTTGGTTTAGTACTGGCCCTCCGGTCTCATACCCGAAGTGACCTAGGTTCGAGGCCAGGTCAGGGAGGATTGTTATATGTCTATATCAAAGCGGCATTGCATTATTACATCTTTCATATATATATGTATATATGTATGTATGCTCTGTAGTTTCTCTGATGTATGTATTTCTGACGAACATATAATTAAAACCGGTCATATGCATATTTTGACATGGATGTATATATTTATATATATAATATAAAAAATATATATATATATGTATATATGTATGTATGCATGTATGTGTGTGTGTGTTTTTACGTGCGTGCCTGAGTGCGTATGTATGTGTCTGTATATATGTGTATGTGTTTGTATGTGTGTACATATATATATATATATATATATATATATATATATATATATATATATATATATATATATATATATATATACGGCACAAGAGATATATATTTTGTATATATCTCAACATTTTAGTTTTTTTTTTATTTAAATTCATGCACACTTCTGATAAATTTTCCAAACGCCCCGCTGCCGAAATGTTTGGGTCTCGTAATTTGCCTAGTCATCATGACATATTCTTCATACTTATTCTTAATGCTTAGTATTAAGTGTAATATACTAATGCGACAAAGAAATTTCTAATACAGTAATCATATCACTGTGGGAGGAAGTATCTAGGCCACTGAAATAATAAGCACTGATAAAGAGATTTATTTGCATGCCAAGTATCATCTGTCTGCCTTTGAACTGCTAAGGCCAGGCAGACGCGAAGGAGAGATTCGTCCTGCTCAGGGGGTGATGCCGGTGTTGGTCTCGATCCAGTCCAAGTAGAAGAAGACGCGGCTGAAGGCATCGGGGTAGCCCACCTCGCATCCGGCGGAGGAACCGAAGGAGGTGATGCCATAGGTGACGCCGTTCAGGTTGAGGGGGCCGCCAGAGTCACCCTGGTGAGGAAAGGCAAAAGGAAATTTAGTTTGACACAAAGTAACTTAGTTGCTACTTGTCAAACGTGTCAGTCGTCTAAAAATGTTAAGTTTGACGCAGTAAGAGTAAAGGCAAAGTCTCGTACATTGCAGGTTCCCTTTCCGCCTGCGGCGTCGATGCAAACGATGCCGCTTCCAAGATGGCCGTAGACTGCGCTGCAGTCGGCGGTGTCCATGATGGGGACGTCCACCTGACGGAGGACGTCGGAGATGCCGCCGGCGCCTGTGTGAGGAGAGGTGTTCCGAGTGACGAGCATGATAATGGTCGATATTGGATAAGTGTTTGGCATCGGTTTTAAGTAGAATGATGTGAGGTAAAAGTGTGTGAATTACTGACTGTCAGAGGGGCGGCCCCATCCTGTAGGGGTGACGGTGGTTCCCACAGCCACGTCGGAGGAAGGCAACTTGACGGCGCCAATGTATTCTGTGAAGATGCAGCACCATATCAGATTAGTTAGCTGGAAGCACCGTGAATGAGGTAATTATGCTCACCCAAAACTATTATCTTCAAAAGTAAAGGGGAATTCATTGTGAGTTTGGCAGATACCGACTATTGAATTCAACAGGGCTTGGCAGCTTGATGAGGGCAAGATCGTTGGTGAGCGAGTGGGAGTTCCAGTGCTCGTGCGTGAAGAAGTCGGTGGAAGTCATGGAGACCTGCGTGGGTTCATTGTGGCGGATGTTGTGGGCGCCCATCACCACTTCGACGAAACCGGCGCTGCAAGCAATTTTACGTATAGAAAATACTATGCAAATCAATTCATTCAAGAGAATCAACATGCCGCGGAGGAGGTCGACATTGTTACATTCAGTGCTGACTCACCCGTCCATGCAGTGGGCGGCCGTAAGGACCCACTCGTTGGAGATGAGGGAACCGCCGCAGAAGTACATGTCGTCGATGAAGAGAGCCACCTGGTGGGGCCACGAGTTAGGCACAGCCTCGGTGCCGCCCACGATGCGGCCAGCTCCTGTAACAGTATTACTAATAGCACTTGTTTTCCTGAGAGAATAATGAACACAATAATGTTTTTACACAATGAGGTGTTTTCTCGAACTAAAATTTTGGAAGACTGACCGGCGGGTGCAGGAGTCTTGGGGTCGACGAGGGGCTTCGGGGACTTCCAGTGCCATGGCTTCCCCGCGGCGGGGTTTCCGCTCTGTTTGGGGAGAGGGAAAGAGGAGGCTAAGATGCTAGAATCCTAAGAAATATCTTTTAGACGGCTTACAGTGGAAAGTATCAACATATCAATCTTCACACTTGAAAACGAGTTTAAAAAACAGACACATTAAAAGTTTAGTAATTATTAATAGAGTTGGTTCTTGAGGGAAATGAATCGTATACTGACGGCGGCGGCGACGAAGGCGAGGAGGAGAGCGACTCTGGCGACCATGGTTGAGGTGCTGCTGAGGGCTCCCTCTCAGCCGCTGGTTATATAGCCGACAAAAGGCTGCGCGTTGGGCTTATCTCTGTTTCGATCTCACTGTGCTGTGTGTATGTATGTACGTGTGCAGGATTCAAGTGAACAAATTGTGAATAAAATAACGAAGGGAAGAACAAGAAAACACGAACTCGCCCAAAGCCTTTTCACTGTATTGCTTGTTGAGGGCATGAGGAAGCAATAGAGCGAAACGGCCTTCGGTGTATTCGTGTTTTCTTGTTCTTCCCTTCGTTGCTTCACTTTACGGGTATGCATGTGTTATATAATCATATCTAATTCGACCTCTCCCTCTGTCTAAATACATGTTTCTGTTACATGAATTTATGTATATAGGTATACAAATCGATTATATACCATATACAATATATGTATATATATTATATTTATATACATATATATCCATACACACACATATGTGCATATATATGTGCGTGTGTGTATACATGTATAAGTGTAGCAGAACAATTAAAAAAGAAAATTCGAATGAAAATGATTTAAAAGATTATGTGTTAAAACTGAATACATAGGCGGCTATTGAAACTCGGTTGTTTACTTCTACGGCAGCGGACTCCTACAATAGGGCCTGGCGCCTAATGGCACCAAATCCTATTGTAAGGGTTTGGAGGTAAATTATATTCTTTGTGCTAGTTTATTTATCCTATCATTACAATGTTATATTTTATTGTTAGCATTCAAAGATGTACATCAACTGAGTTAATTGTGTGAATTATGACACTGTTTTGTTTCAGTTTTACGTATGAGTACTAACATAGAAAATATGGATAGACATAGGGAAATTGTATCTCATCATTTATGGAGAGTAAAGGAAGAGTAAAGGATTGTTTTTCTCCAGGACCCATTGAAGTATTCATTCAGTAAACAAATTCCAACAAAAAAGGGGGAGACAGTAAATCTCCACCCTAATAAACGATATTAAAAACTGCTCCAACCCCGGTTACACTACGCGAAACGATACCAGTGAAAATCCATCCAAGAAGTACGAAAAACGGTGTTACCCTAAGAAGGTAGTACACAAGCCTGAAGCTTCAATCAAGTACAGTTGTTGTTTGCTGCAACGCCGGTAGAGCAGTTGATTCTCCCCAGCAGTCAAGCGTGATCTTCGTAAATTCATCTACTGGTAACATTCCAAGAACAACAGGAACCCGAAGTAACAAATACAGCAAGAGAACAACAGGTATTCACCAGAAATTGATTTATATTCTCACTCTTGTTTAAAATAAGGGTACTACAGACAGGGTAACTGTTTACGGGGGCTAACTGGTGTTTGTTGCATTACTGGTATATCTATAAGTTGTATGAGAATGTTATTTAAGATGAAGTACCTAGTGTAAGATCTAGAACTTAGACTAAAAAAAGTTATGAATATGAAATTATAAAAGCAGGAATTTGAAAAGAATAATAATGGATGAATTAAGCAATGAACTTCGTCATGAAATAAAAGCATCCTCGATGGAAAGCACCATTGTTTACTGTTGTGAACGCTGAACTGACACGATGGTTCTCTCCGAAGGAACACTGAATATAGTGTAACCAATCTTGTGACCTTTGCTTTGCTGAAGAAAAAAACTTTTTGTCTAAATGGAAGAAAGATTACGAAATTAAATTCATGTCTTGATATAAAGGGTAAAAGGATTAAAAAAAATTAACTATGTTGAGACACTTGTTCATAGACTAATTATATTATTAGAATCTAAGGATTTTTTTTCATATATCATGTACCTTCAAAGATCAACGAAGTCATCGCCAAAGAGCTTGATTTTATTTGTGATACTTCAGAAGAAAACGTTTTTTGTATTTACCTTTAAGAAAGTTTTGTAAAGAAATATAGTTTTAAGGTAGTATAATGTTAATTGTAAATTGTAAAAAATCTAGGGGAGCCATGTATGTGCAGTAGCCCAATTAAAAAAGAAAAGGCAAATGAAAATGTTTTAAAAGATTATGTTGTGATTCCTTCACAGCACCAAGTCTAATGTCGGGGTCTGGAGGTAAATTACATTCTTTGTACTATTTTATTTATCCATATCCATTACATTTTTTATTAAGTTTGTTAGCATTCAAAGGTGTACTTCATTTCAGGTAACTGTGTGAATTATTAGTTTAATAGTATATATGACCAGGTGGCCACAGTTGTCACGTTTTACATTGTTTTGTTTCAGTTTTTCATATGAGTCCTGGAAAGGTTAGGTTAGATATTGTATCTCATCAGTTATGGAGAACAAAGGAATAAGCAACAAGGATTGTTTTTCTCCAGAATCCATTGAGGTATTCATTCAGGAATATATATTTATATACATGTATATACATATATACATAAATACATATATGTATATATATATGTGTGTGTGTGTGTGTATGTGTGTGCATTTATACATATATGAAGAGATAAATATGATCTGTATATAAATGTATACATAAATGCACGTGCGATATGCTATATATGTATACACACACATACATATACATATACACATACATATATATATACACACACACATATATATACATATATGTACATACATACATACATATGTGTGTGTGTGTGAATGTGTGTCAACATAATCATGAAGGGACCAGTGACGACGGAGGCGCATGGCCGCATCCACCCTTCGCCTCCAGCCACAATGGTTTCCAGGCAGGCCCTCGACCCATCTCCAACTCCTCGTGACAGTGTAGTGTTTCAGCGGAATTATCAAAGTAATTTTCATAAAGTGTTATTTCTTTAAATCTTTTAATGTTATGGTAATTGGCACGATGGAGGTTCACAGGAAACAAAAGTAACCTTATAATATTAGAATTGGTTAATAATTTAGGTAAAAGATTAAAACAAAGAACTAGAGGGGATTCATACATAACTATACAGCAAATTAAAAAAAGTGAAGCGAAACTTAAAAGCGAAATACTAAAAATTAAACATAGTTCATAAAACACAAGCAAAAAGATAAGGCAATTAAAATAAAACTGAACGAGACAAATAAAACAATACAAATAATAAAACAGAAGAACTTAAATGACATGAAATAACATAAAAGACCAAAAGGCTACTGCAAATGAAATAAAAGAACATAAAAAAAAGCCTACGACGGTCCAGCAAAACAAAGCTCGAAATAACTAATAGAAAACAAAGCACATCCCCTTAAAATAACTATAACTTTAGGTCCCGTGGCCATAAACAAAACTCTTCTTAACTGAACGGAGACTCGGTGGGCCTTGCAAAAATGACGTTCCAGAGACCACAAGCGAACCCAGTATTCTGACACTTCGTGGGGGGTAAACAGACAATCGCCCGAGGCGATGGCCGAGTGTATGGTTCTTCTTTATAATCCGAAATCAACTATATATTCTTTAACATGTTTTGGTTTGCTGGACCTCACAACATTTAAGTAAAAATTTATGACATAAAAGAATAAAAACACATAAAAGAATTTATATATACGTTAAAATGGAATGGAAATAGAAAATGGGAATACATAATAAAAGTAACATCAAAAGACATAAAACTATACAATAAAACCAAGCTAAAAAAATACAGAATGCGTTTGTTTAGAAACGTCAATCAAACATAAAAGAAAAAGACTATTTGAAGAAAATGCCAGAGCGCACCTTACAGCTCCTTGCGGGGGACGAGCTTGAACTCTAGGGGGCACTACTAATTTTTGGGGTAACTCCCTTAAAATAGATCACTACAACAGGACTGGTCGAACTGCCCAAGCCAAGACCACACAGACTTTGGATGGTAGCTCTGCCCATTATCCAGTCCATGCAGGTGTTGAAAAGCGTTGGTGCAAGGACGCAGCCTTGCTTTACCCCTGAATCAACAGGAAAGAAGTTCGACAGGCTCCCACCACACTTTACAGCACTTTCAGTACCGGTATATAGGTTTTCTATTAGTCTATTATGAAGGCGTTCCACAATTACTTGAGGCGCTAGGTCTCTGGTGCCTTAATAGGTGGTTGCGTCTCAGAATGTGGGCGAAAACCTTGCCTGGTAAACTGATCAGTGTGATGCCATGGTAGTTAATACAGTCTCAATGATCCCCTTTTCCCTTCCAGAGAGAGATGACCACTCCCCTCAACAGGTCAGGGGAATGAAACCAGACTATCATATATCTGTGGCTTTCCCATCCTTTCAGCTTAGAAATCGCCATTCTAACTTCAGGGAAGGAGGATCCTCGTTGATGGGTAGTCTGGTACAGGTACTGTTGGAGGATCTACAGCTGTTTAAAATACTAGGCCCAGAACATGTGTGTGCGCGTGTGTATGTTTATATATTTAAGCATATAAATATATACATGTATGAATATATATATATATATATATATATATATATATATATATATATATATATACACATATATATGTATGTATATATATATACATACATACATATATTTGTATATATAAGTTTGGATATATATATATATATATATATATATATATATATATATATATTTATATATATATGTATATATATATGTATGTAGGTCTGTAAATGTGTGTGTGGATACGGCGCGAAAAAATATTTTATATCATATATTTTAAATATTTATCTTTAATCTCAGCATATAATCCAAAAGTTTACATTTTTTTCATTTTTTTTTCAATACTCGTGCACACTTCTTAGAACTGTATGAACAGAAGCTCCTTTGACGATAAAAAAGGCTAATATTTTTTTCTGATTATATCATTTGTGACGCAATTAATACATAATTGTTACTTTTATGCGTTAAGAATCAAATGCTAAAGGAGATTCTGCTTGATTCTCGTTCAAACACCTCTTCTACTGCCGAGATTTTAGGGTCTCGTAATTTACTTATGAGTGACGGTTTGGTTATCATATAAAATGCCTTATGCCTTTGTAATTCATACTGAGGGTAATACACTAATACGACAGGGGAATTTCTAATACTCATATCACTGGGGGATAATATCTAGGATACTGAAATGATTAGCTT